CAGCTGGAGGGCAAGGACTCGGCGTTTGGAAACAGAAAGAGGACATACGATGATGAGATCAAGGGTGTCTCTAAGAAGACTGGGAAGCCTTTGAGCAAATACTATGATGATGGCTCGATCATTGATGAGTGGAGAGCCCGCTCATCGGAAAATGCAACACCGTGGGCAAGTAGCATGGCTCCCAGTCTACATGTGGGCGCAAGGTGCGTGTCAATATATGGTGAAGGAAAAGCAATTATTCTGACTAAAAGCAGGCTGCACAACGAGATCCTCAGCTTTTACCACTGGGTCAAACCGGTGCGCTATGAACAGATCGTGCGAGAGGACTTAGTGGCGAGGCTACAGACTGCGTTCCAGAGCAGGTACTATGGGGTGCAGCTTCGGCCTTTTGGCTCTTTTGCGTCTGGTCTCTACCTGCCCACTGCCGATATTGACCTTGTACTACTCTCCACGAACTTCATGCGTAACGGTATTAAGACCTTTGGTGAACGGAAAGGCCAGATCTATGCATTCTCTGCATTTCTGAAGAACCTGAACATTGCGGTGCCCAACTCGATCGAGACGATCGCACATGCCCGAGTACCCATTCTGAAGTTCGTGGACAAGTTGACTGGCTTGAGGGTGGACTTGTCGTTCGACAATGACAGCGGGTTAGTGGCCAACGAGACGTTCCAGCAGTGGAAGGCTGAGTATCCCGCGATGCCTGTTATCGTGTCCGTCATTAAGCAATTCTTGCTCCTTCGCGGCCTCAATGAAGTCCCAACTGGCGGCCTGGGAGGGTTTTCCATCACTTGTCTTGTCACGAGTCTTCTTCAGCACCTGCCGCATGGTCATGGGACACCGAACCTGGGCAGCGTTCTCATGGATTTCTTCGAGTTCTACGGTAACGGTTTTGACTATGATTCCGTTGGAATTCGCTTTAACCCACCGGGCTACTTCAATAAGGTAAGCTCTCCCAATGATGGTTTGTGTGCACACCGACTAATGAATTCCTGTGCAGAGGGTCTATAAGCTTTCATTCAATAACAGCCCCCGTCTGTCGATTGAGGATCCCAACAATGCCGACAACGATGTCTCTGGTGGAACACGGGAAATTGCATTGATTTTCAGAGCGTTTTCAGAAGCCTATCAACGTCTCAAGGAGCGCATGATCTCCACAGCCACAGCGGGCCAGACGCAGGCCAGCATCCTTGAAGCCATTATTGCCGCGAACTATGAGGAGTACACTGAGCAGCGGTGGCAGCTCCGGCAGGTCTTTGACACCGATGAAAGATTTGCCCGGTACCGTCGGGATTCCACTCCTCCGCCCCCTCCTCCTGACTCTCCTCCGGCTGATGCTGCTCCACCTCTCCCTCCCAACCCCCCTCCTGCTGCGCCAAAATCGCAGAAGGATAAAATGACCAAGCTGCAAAAGAAGCAACAAGCTGCGCGGGAACGTTCGGCTCGTCTCAAGCGCTTGCGTCCTGACATACCGTCCATTCCCTACTCGATCAGCAATGAGCAGGCCATCAGTCTGGGCGGCTACAAGTCGCAATCAGATATGGACAGAGACCTTTTGATGCGAGAGAAGGGGATGTAATATCTCCCAGCCAGAACTAGGGGCTTCTTCGAAGAAGTCAACTTAAGACTTGTACAGTTTTCTTTCGTCTTGGGTTACCAGTGGGCACACATTTTCTGTATTATACCCTGGGATAGTTTCTCTTTCTCTCACTTTCTGATTTCTTGTCCGCCTTTGAGCGTCTGATACCCTTCTTTTTCCTTGGCTACAAAAAAGATATCTGGGAGCATGGTTTACACTGGGGGTGGTTTTCTTTTGCTGTTCATTCGGGGTATATCGGAGCAATGCTAAATGTGGATGACACTATGCTATGGGCTATGAGCGCGAAATGGACTATTGTGAAGATATCTCACTAACAAGCTCAATAGAAGCTGTGCTTGGATACTCAATTCATTTGTCAAACCTGGTTGGTATTCACATTACCTATCATATCATAACCCACCGGCCAACAGCCCACGTCATGTGCCTCGCTAACACATACTTCTCTATAGTTTGATTTATCTTCTGATGATCTCAGGCCAGATGTGAGTTTACAAACGAACGGCCTGTCATCGACCAGTCAAACAAAGATACCAACCTGGTTACGCCAGCAGCAGCAGCAGCAAAATTGCAAAATATTGATTGAAATTTAGAAGCATGAAAATCGAATTGGTACCGTACGTTCACGGAGATCCTCGCGGTTCTTCTTGTGGATTTGCAAACCTTACTTCACTCCCTTTTTCCCCGTATCCTTCTCATCAAGGGGGCGCTATATGCGGTCGCTTGGAGAGGAAGAGCGAGGTTTGGGAGTTAAATGGAATGTGAATTGGGGGGGATGTGGGGGTTTCGAGTTTGATTGCTGGATAGGTAGGTCGGTAGATGGGTAGTCTATTCAATGCATATGTGCTGGAGGTGTGTCAGGATCGTGAGTAATAATTCAAAAGTACAGATAACACTGCAAGAATCATATGCGGTCTAGGATGTTCAAAGACGGGCATAATTATGCAGTGAGCAAATAGATGGAAGTATTAAAGCAAACAACTGAAGTCATGTCTTAACAATGCGTATGCATAAGTCATCATCAATCAGGCCTGGTATGTATAAGGTATAAAGGGAATAACAGTATCTTCAGTGATCACAGCGCAACATCAGGCGCTGCAGCAGTGGGTATCTTCTCAGTCGCATCAACTGCCTCCAAAGGCGGCGTAACCATGGACTCATCATTAGCGCCAGCAGCAGCAGTATCCTTGTCTCTCGCAGCTAGATGCTCAGCAGACAACGAATTGACGAAATCCGGAGACGGGCTGTCCCAGGCATAATCTGCCCACTCTGGGCCCAGAATCGTCCGGATATGCTGAGCCAGAGACGAGATGCGACCACGTCTGTCTTTCGACCAAGCACGGTCGGTAATAATCCCCTCCGAAGGGGTCAGGATAGCAGGCGCCTGTGCGGCAGAAGGCACAGCGGATGGGGGCTGCAGTTCTGAGGACTTGGGTTCAACGTCCTCGTCATCGTCCTTGTTCTCCAATCCATCCACGATGCTATGCCAGACACGCAGTGTCTCATCCAGCTCTCCGAAGTTGCTCACTCCCATCACACTAACTCCCAGTCTCTCCCCAGTGCCCATACTAGCCACGGAGATGAATCCCGGATCAGCATCTCCAGCCTTAGCCAGCGGGGCACCCAGCGCTCCAACCTGCTTTCCTTCGCGCAACCAGCTCTCCAACGAAAACCGGATAGCCACAACCTCCAACCTCTCGCCCTGGCCATCGACCCAATCCGAAACCTCCCGGATCTTGTTGCGCAATCCATCTGGCGCGGGGTGGAAATCCCCCATACTGCCAATCGGCACGCCCTGTCTCCGCAACAGACCCATCCCCAGCGGCGACGCATTCGTAACAACGTCCACACCCGCGCTCACAAACCTCGGCAATCCGCGCGACAAGAGTCTCGTATTCTGCAGCGTGTAATTCGCATACGACTGTACGATATCCAATGGCTCACCGGTCTCGCGGAGAACCAGCTCCGCTATTTCCGCCAACACGTCAATGGGGAACCCCGAGATGCCGACATATTTGATGGTGCCCTCGGTATCGCGAATGCGACGCAGTTCCCGGATAGCGGCTAGGGCTTCCTGGCGGGAGACGAACTCAACGTCGTGGCAGTAGACGACGTCTAGGTAGTCGGTGTGTAGGCGCTGGAGACTGCGACGGACGCTTTGGCGCACCCAGGCAGGGGAGTAATCGAAGGAGGAGGAGGCGATGCGGCCGACTTTGGTGAGAATGTGGTAGGATGAGCGGGGGTGATGGGTGCGGACGTAGTCGGTGGCGAGGGCGCGGCCGAGGAGTTCTTCGGCGGGACCGTAGTAGGGGGATGTGTCGAAGGCGCGGATTCCGGAGGTGAAGGCGCGCTGGACCAGTTCAGTGGTGGGGAGGGCGAAGGGGTCGTGGTTGTATTGGTTGTTGAAGGTTGCGGTGCCCATTATCAGTGGCGGGAGGGCCGCTGAGAGGGGGGTGGAGGGACGGGGCATTGTTGGTCTTTCTTTGTCTTTTAGTTATGTAGGTGAAGTCGAAAGTAGGAGAGAAATATTTACAAGAAGGAATGAGAGGAAGAGGGTGAGAAAAGAAAGAGGGAGAGAAGGAAAGAGAGGATGGCGAGGGGGAATAATAAAAGAGCAAAAGGAGGGGAAAGAAAATCTGCGGCGGAGATAAGGGAATCTCACCCGGGCAATATTCCCCGCTGGGGCGTTTCCGCTCCGCGATGGCGCCATGATGGCCACCGATGAGCATTGCTTGATGTTCTTAAGACGATGGAAGATTATTTCTCATGATTGATTGTGAACGATGCTAGCATTTGTACACAACTCTCAGTGGAATCATGACCTTCCACGCAATCGTGGAGGGTACTAAAGTACAGGTATCAATCCTCTGAACAGGACACAAGAGGGGAGAAGGGATCATTAAGAACAGAAAAAAAGAAAAGAACACAAAGATAGGATCATCCTTGTGCCCTGCTAGGCTCGTAGGCCCTTCGTCTTTCGAATAATATACACATATACTCTCAGTCAGGACGTAGAATGGCCCGGCGAACAAGGCGCAACCAACCCAGACCGTCGACTCAGCCTGGAATCTGATATGCCATATGCCCTTCATTCAAGTCCGAGTCCATCCGTCTCGACGAGATGCAAGCCACCATATAAATATAGGAATCTAAACTCTTTCCAAGCTGCAAGTTGGAATCACCAAAACGCCATGCTATGCCGCGAAAACCGAGAGGGAGAAAAACAGGAGGTCGAGGAGATCGTCAAGGGGGGCTTCCGATGGTCGGTGCAAATGCTTCGACCCTGTTGATGAGAGCCAAGCTTAAATCGATCGAAACGCAAGAACTCCCAGATGGCAGCCCGAGAGCAATCAATCATTCCTGAAGAAGTTGAGCCGGGTGCTATAGGTCAAAAGAAACGCATTCACCGGTCCTTATATACCTTGGGCTTCCAGCCGTCGCGCAGCTCCTTCTCCTCGGCCATCTTGCGCTCGGCCTGTCGGACTTCCATCTCTAACCTCTCCCGGGCCCGAAGAATCTTGCTTTGCAGGTAGAAACTACCACCCTTCTGGGGATCGTTGAGGTCGAACAGCTTCTTGAATCGTTCCATCACTTGCTCCAGGTTGGCCTCGCCGTTTTGCGGGGGCTTGACGTTGAGAATCTTGCAGGCCTCGTCGAGAGTCAATCCGGAAGACATGCTGGCGCCGACCTTCTTGCCCGTCTGCGCGGCGTACTTGGAGGAGGCTTGGGCTTGCTTGTAGGCCTCGGCGAAGGCCTTGCCGAAGACACGGGCGCCCGTGACGACGACTTGAGTGACGATACGATGAGCCTGTTGGGTGAGAAGAGAGCAAAGTTAGTATACCTGAGCATGGCGGCCGATCGGGATAGAGAAGGCATCATAGTCGCTTCAGAGGAGTGAGGGTGTCTCCACATACCATGATGACTGGAGATGATAGCCGATGAACGGACTTCAAGAATTAATCAAAGCTCCAGGAGCGACGGCGAACAAAAGAAATGATGCGACCGGAGAGTAGTGGAGGGAGTCCCTGGCTGAATCAAGAAGGGGAGCGGAAAGCGGAATCGATGGCGATAGAAACAGACGGAGAGGGAAAAATTCGGCAGCGCTTTAGTCCGTTTTGCCGTACCGCCGCGGCCTGAGGCGTCCCCGGATTGGTTCCTGGATTGGATGTAAAGTAGACCAACCAACTATTGGACTCAATACTATTTGACCGTCAAAAAGAAAGCACTTACCCCCTACCTGATACTTCAGCTGCTGTGTATCTGCTGATTTGTCAAATTCAATAGAACAATGATTTATTATTGCAGGGTCTCACTGTGTGTCTCTCACCTCATTTTCCTTGACTGATGCATCGCATCTATACGTATGTAACGGTCACTGACGGTATCCATACCCGCCTGTCACTGGTGCCCACATTGTTTAAATTGTGTAATCTGTGTATGGTATGGTAATATCCGGGCGAGGCAGGCTGTCACATGTTCCGAGCAGCAGACGAAAAGCTTCAATTCTCAGCTGCACCCGCGGATCTCTGGCTATTCCCCCCTTCCATCCCCGCAGATGATCGGCCTCCAGGGACCTTGTCTCTAACTTTTGGTCCCCCATCTTTCGTTGGGTCTGACCAGCATTTATTGTGTGTCTCTCGCCCTTTTCCTTCTCCCTCTCTCTTCTCCGCGTCTCACCGCCCGCAATGACCTTGGATGCATATGACGTCTCTGTTGTTGGATGGCAGCTCTCGGTAGGTGATACAAACAAATGCACTTTCTGACTCTGACGACTTTCCACCTCCTATTCTCTTCGAATATCTGGTCCACGTGGACGAGCCGCTCTCATCCACTACCGCCCTGAATACTGATGTCGCGACAGAAGATATTCCGTGGATAGATTCCATGGCCCCATCATCATCCACGCAGGACCATGCTGACTCTCAGCCTCCGACGGTCGCTGCTTTCTCCCCCACCACCATCTCAGGCTCGTCCGTCACATCGAGGCAGCGTTCCAGCATCATCGTACATCGCAAATCGCCGCTACTGGTGGCCACGCCCCCTCAGATCACCCGGGCATTGGCCTACTCGCATCCGTTTATTCTCCCGTTGAACAAGCTCGTTGGATTGCTCACATGGACCACTGGAGACGGCTGGCAGAGCTTCCTTCTGGTAGCAGTATTATGGACGCTTGTTCTCTATGGCGATGTGATTATTACCTGGACCGGGCCACTCCTCGTGGTCATCGGCCTTATTTTGGGCATGTACTGGCGACGCTACTCCCCGTTGTCGTCCAGGGCTCACTTGAGTGAGAAGCAAGGTCATCAAAGGGCTGCTTCGGAGACATTCCCCCATCAGCATGAAACGCTGGACGAAATCGTGGAGACGCTAAGGACATTTACCACACGCTGCAATATTCTCCTAGAGCCACTCGTGGAATTTACCGACTTCCTGTCCACGCAGAGGACAGCGACTTCTGCCACCACCCGACCGGCTCTTACAACCTTATTCATTCGAATCCTCTTCGTTACACCAATATGGATCGCCTTGACTCTTCCCCCGTTGTATCTTATTACCACTCGCCGGGTTATCATGACACTCGGCACTATCATTCTCACCTATCACTCTCGCCCGGCAAGAGTGTCTCGTGTCATTCTTTGGCGATCGTTAACGATCCGCCGGATATGCTCCATAATCACAGGCCTATCCTTTTCTTCTACAGTTGATAAGGCGCATTCGCTGTTAATGCAGAGCCAGGGCCATGCGATGAGCATTGCGACAAGACGTCGAGGAGACTCCTCCGGTGTGAGATTCACCTTTGTCATCTATGAGAACCAACGTCGTTGGCTTGGAATCGGCTGGACGTACTCTCTGTTCCCTTCCGAGCGAGCTGCTTGGACAGACGAGCATTTGAATCACGTCCCATCTAAGGAAGACTTTGAGCTGCCCGGTGTCGCAAACGGAAATGCTCAGTGGCGCTGGGTCGAAGGAAGTGACTGGCGTATTGAAGGCGCCGACGAGTCAGGAAAGTCGGACGCCAAAGCTGATGGCGGGGGCTGGGTCTACTATGACAACAAGGTGGGACACATTGTTTCCCATGTTCTGACAAATGTCCAGGTTCCAGGGTTACTAACAGCATGGGAACAGTGGAACGACGGTCGCCGTGGTCAAGATGGTTGGGATCGATACACTCGTCGTCGGAAGTGGTGTCGTGACGCCGAACTGGTTGAGATTCCCTCAGCGGGCGAGAGCACCTCAGTGGAGACCAAATCCGGCATCGCCCAGTCACTGGAGCAGGAAAAGGCTGCCAACGCCCATGAGAAGGAGATCTCATCTACGGTCGACGCCGACGCAGAAAGTCTCGCCCCGTCAACCTCATCCAAGTCCCGCAAACGACGTTGGTTTGGGAGTACGAAGAGTGTAAGCGACAAAGCCAGCAGCATCTCCTCTGCTCCACCAACGTCCACCAATAACTCCTCCGTAGATCTCGGAAAATTGAAGTCCGCCACCCCAACCGGCAGCTACACGCCAACCGGGAAGTCCACCGCAACTGCAACCCGACCCATCAGTATTCCGCACGCCCGGAAAACGTCCAATTACTCGGGAGGCAGCGCCAGCCACAGTAGCAGCTTCGGCCGCGACGGAAGTATCAGGGAGAAAGAGATGTCTCTCGCTCAGGACCGTCTAGACCGCTGGGGCACTCGCGCCACAGGGGGTACTGAACGAGCCGAGCGAGAGATGGGGTTAGGTGATGAGGTCAATATGGGATTAAGCTGATCTTATTCAGTCATGGAGGAGAGGTGAAGCAACACTGCAACTGGCGGCGTCTCAAGAGAATGGCATTTTCTTTTTCTTTGCAAAGCGGACTTCTTATTAATTAGTATCTTTTTCGGGCTTTTGTTTGCGTCTGGTGGACGGGTGTTTTGGGTACTTCACTTCTTAGCCTATATTTTTACTCTGTGCGGTTTAACGCCTTGATGAAATGGAGATACCCTTGTTTACCCAAGAGAAGATCTGCTCGGAGCAGTGCCGTAAGTCGAAGACTTGTCAAGCTGTGGTATCAGAAGTGTATTTCAGTGCTTATCATATATGCTTGGTATTCACTTATTGTTCTTATACATTATCTATAGTATCTAGGCAAGAATCAAGTCCCACTGTAAGCGCTCCAACATATCTAGCCAATGCACATCCCCTTCTCCCGCCCAGAGAATACTCAACATCTCTTTTGCTCTTCTCACATTGCCGATGCCGAAGTTGGCCTCTAATTTATCCAATGAATGTATAATGAGCTCCTGGTCTGAGGGATGTTTGCTCTCGCAGCCAGCAATGAAGAGTGGGAATGTAAGCGCAGAGTATTCGCAGTGCTCGTCGAGTGGGAATTCCCTGATTCTGGACAAGAGATGATGTAATGCGGTTGATCGGGGGAGGGAGATTGATGGTGATGGTTCTGGTTTGAATGGCGTATGTAGTGTTAATTGTAATGGGGCAGCAAATTGTGGTGATAATGGTGGTGCCGTTCTCTGGTTCAGTCTTTCCAGAGTGGAATGGAGATAGATGTACGCAGCATCGCGGAAGCAGTTGGCGACCATGCGCAGACGCATAAGGTTCGATTCGGTTATGCCCCGTGGGAGGATATATTCGGTGTTGGTGGGTGCCCAGTCTCGGAGGGATGTGTCGCTGTGTGGTTGATGGTTAGCGGGAGCTGTGGATGTTGTTGAGGTGGTACTTACATTAAGTGGACCTCTAGGTCCAAGGCTACAGGGTCTTGAGATAGGGTGGGGAGGTCGGCTATTCGGGCGCATATCTTGATGAGGTCTTCTGCGTAGCCGATGTAGATGTCGAGCTTGGAAATTTTGACGTTGCCAATATCAAGGTCGTAGTTGATGTGTTTGCGGTTGCTGATTCTGGCCATGTTATAGGCATAGATGTAGCTATGGTGTGGTTAGCTTTGGTTTCAAAAGAGGTAATTTGTAGAACGAGTCTTACAAGCCGCTTAGAAACTCCCTCATGTCATCTTTCAGAGCATCAACTCCACCGCGAGCCATTATTAGCTCTTGTAGGGCGTTCAGATGCGCGGTCCACTGCTGAACGCTTCCGCGTACGATTTCGTACTTGCAAAGCATGGCTACCGCCAGGATGGCCTCATCGGGAAGGGACCGCGCTGAATATATGGCAATTGTCGACTGCAGTCCACTCAGCGTTTGAATGTAGTAGTCTGTTGCGGCTGTCTGAGCCTCCTGTTTGTCCCGGGACCGATTTGCAAAATGTGTTGCAGATACCGCACACAAAGCTTTCATCAGAAGAGGCGATGATAGGGCTCGGGGTATGAGAAACGATCGAAGGGGGTTGTCGATACTCTCAAGGTTGGCTAGTAGCTTGGAGCCCAGCTCGGTGTGATACTGAAGATAGTGCGTATCGTGATGGGAAAGATGACTGAAGTACCTGCTTGGCATGGGCGAAGCCACGGTGAGTGCATAGCAGGAGTCAGTGTCAGGTATGGTAATCTGTTTGTCTTCATATTCATTATTCTCATTGTTCCAAGAGTATAGACTGCTGTTGTCAGATTCAGCCGGCGTTGTTGGCGCTGTTGATAGACTGCTCGAGACTGGGGAGCTCGGGGACAACCAGAGCTCTTCTTCCGGGGCACGCGAATAGGTTGTTGAAGCTGATGTTGTACTAACTCTGCGCCGTTTCGGCTCTCTGAATTGGCTGAAGATGTTTGCTGATGGATCTAGAGGCTCTGCCCACATTGAGCCATAGCCCTCACATTTCAAGCCCAACCTGGCACAGCTATGACAGCTATTGTAATCGAGCAGTTAGTGCCTAGTATAGCCTAGTACCAGGGGTGGACTCCATCATACCAGGGCTTCGCTTCATCACACCGCTTCCGACGACGCTTGCATGTCAAGCAGCCAGACCGTGTCCACTTGGCGCCTTCTCGTCTGCATCTCCGCCTCGTTGGGGTCTGAGTTGAGGGCTGTTGCACCATAGTTGCAGTATTAGATACTGTCATGATATAGGAGCAGTCTTGTAATAGATAATGGATATTTCAGGCTATCTAGGCTTATAAAATCAATGCTGCTGGTTTGTTCTCTCGATGCGTGGGACCACCACTAGTATGGAGTAGCTTAGTTCGGTCGTAGATGTATATTTCCGCGTCGGCAACTTGCATCAACCGGATACTAAGTAGATGGAGAAAAGCCGGCAGCCAATGGATCTGTCAGATAATCAGCCGGTTGACCGTTAGTTCGAGTCACCAAACAAGTGTACCTTGCTTGAAGCAGACCAGATGAAAATAGTTGAAGGACAGAAAGAGAGACGAAAGATGAGCCTCCAAAAAGGCCGGGGAAAGTCGGCGCTAAACCAAAAGAGGAAGGAGATACGCTGAGATTTGGCAGCTTTTATCGGAGATGGAGAAGATTCCCCCGCTTTTCGATATTCCTTTGCTGGCGATCCTCGGGTGAGTGATTGAGAATTGCAGGATAAAAATGATCGAGTATGACAATCGAGTACTGACATTGGCACTCGTTTATCTAGCAAGCATGTGGCTACAGAGATAAGGAAAAGACAGCCGTTATCGGCGGGAAGGGGGGAGTTTATCGTCAAGTCCGATCTGCTGGATGCCACTATACGGACCAGATATGTTGTTGGAATGAATGTGCCATATTACGTCTCTCGGCAAACGAGCGCCTTTTGCATCGCTTATCCTCGCGTTCCTCGGACCCCGAAACGGAGGAGGGAGACCGCAAGGGGAATTCTATGACCAATGCACGGCGGCTATCAGGCTGTCAATCCATGGCAGATTAACAAATCGTCGAGATCTTGAAGCCGCAGTCCCAGACTTACCGCCGCCCCACTTGTCCCAATTAGGCATGTCCATCCAGACCGTGGAGATCCTTGGGTCTCTTGCGGCTTCACCTTCTCCATGAGCTTCCCTTTTTTGCCTTTGTGCTGGGTCCCTCACCGAAAGGGAGAAGTGCTCAATGGACTACATATATCTCGGTTTGCCCCCGGGCAATGGACACTTGCTGTTCTATCTCATCCTTCTTGATATGACCTGATTCCCCCAAGGACTTTGTCCCAAACCATACTTCTATTCCCCAGTCGCATCATCTCTCCCATCAAGCACACACGCGCGCCTTCTGAACATGTCAATTGCAGCTCAGGGGCCCAGCTTGGCCACTTCGGCCAGCCCTCACCCTTTTGATCCCGTCCGGCCTCAAGAAATTCGCTTGGCTGTCCGCATCCTGGAAGCTGCCTTCCCAGGTGTTAAGCTGCGCTACAATCGTATTGATATCCACGAGCCCATCAAGAAGGATGTCGTCCCTTACATCGAGGCTGAGAGGTTAAGGAAACCCCTTCCTCCGAAGCCCGCGCGTCTTCTTTACTCTTACTTCTATCGCCTTGATACCGGCGCATGGTGCAAGGCGTTGATGAACGCGGACACCGCATCCGTCATTTACGTCAAGGAATTACCGGAGGGAGTCCAGGTGTGTACATTTTGATTCGACCTATATTGTTCTTACGCTAACAGCTAGCCTCAGCCTCCAGTAGATATCGATGAATTGGCCGTTATCGAAGAAGTCTGCATGAAGCACCCCGCAGTGCAGGCGGAAATTGCAAAGCTCCAGCTACCCCCTGGCATGACTGTCTGCAATGACCCGTGGATGTACGGTACCGAGAGTCTGACCGAGTCAAGGCGCATGTTCCAGTGCTTCATGTACATGGTGGAAGTGGACCACCCTGAAAACAACCACTATTCCTTGCCTTGCAAGTTCTCCCCGGTGTTCGATGCCTTTACACATGAGTTGATCCGCATGGATTATCTGCCGGGTGGCTCGGATGCACAGACCGTTGAGACTCAGCCCTGGAAGCCCGTCAAGGCGGTTCAATACGCCCATGACCTGCAGGATGAGCCTATTCGGACAGACCTCAAGCCCTACATTGTGCAGCAACCCGAAGGACCCTCTTTCTCGGTGGATGGCAACTTTGTCTACTGGCAGAAGTGGCGCTTCAGGGTTGGCTTCAACAACCGGGAGGGCATGGTTCTTTACAACGTCACCTATGATAACCGCAGCGTCTTCTACCGCCTTGCGGTATCAGAAATGACCGTCCCTTACGGAGGTAGGCAAAACCGGACATCTTTTATGTAAAAGATATGCTAATGTGGATGATAGACCCTCGCGCTCCCTACCACCGCAAGCAAGCTTTCGACGTTGGCGATGTCGGTTTTGGTCTCAACGCCAACCAGCTAACGCTGGGTTGCGACTGCCTGGGTCATATCAAGTACTTCGACGGCTACCGGGCTGACTGCAAGGGAAACCCGGTCCTGCTGAAGAACATCATTTGCATGCACGAGCAGGACAATGGCCTGCAACACAAGCACACCAACTACAGATCCGGCGCTGCTACCGTGGTCCGCAACCGCCAGCTTGTTCTGCAGATGATCTGCACCGTCGCTAACTACGAGTACATCTTTGCCTACATCTTCGACCAGGCCGCCAACATTGAACTGGAAGTGCGCGCAACCGGAATTCTATCGACGGTGCCTTTTGATAACACCAATGGCGAGACTGTCAAGTGGGGCACCAACGTTGGTCCGGGCGTGATGGCTCCTTACCACCAGCACATGTTCTCTTTCCGCATTGACCCGGCCCTGGATGGTCACAAGAACACTGTTTACTACGAGGAGAGTGTGCCTCTTCCCGAAGACGAGAAGAACCCTTGGCTAGTAGGCTACACCACTGAGCAGACTGTGATGGACAAGGCAGGCTCAGCCGACCTTGACATCAACCGCAACCGGGTCTTCAAGATTCGCAACGACAACGTCATCAACCCCATCACCTACAAGCCCATTTCCTACAAGCTCCATCCGGCACCTAGCCAAATGCTCCTCCAGAGCAAGAGAGCCATTGGCTACGGCCGTGCCGAATTCGCCACCAAGCCCATCTGGGTGACCAGATACCAAGACGATGAGTTGTATGCTGCGGGCGAGTTCACCAACCAGAGCCGACGCGCTGTTGGCGTGGAGACCTGGTCCAAGCGGAATGACCCTACTGAGAACGAAGACGTGGTTCTCTGGCACAGTAAGTTCTACTACTCCCTACCACCTTTGTTGTACATGTACAGAGATCAAGGATGATTCAGCTAACACGCACATTCTAGCATTCGGCCTCACCCACAACCCCCGCGTCGAAGACTTCCCCGTCATGCCCATGGAACGCATCAGCGTGATGCTGCGTCCTGACGGCTTCTTCACGAAGAACCCGGCCGTGGATGTTCCTCAGTCGTCGCAGAACTTCAACAAGTCTACCCTGCACCCGGAACCTGCTGCGGCAGTCCCCTCCTGCTGCAGTGGATCCAGCAAGGCCAAGCTGTACAAGCGCATGGATTAGAGGAACAGGAGTACATTTGTTTAGAATTTCACGATGCATATGGGATAGGGGAGGTGTATGATTTACGATACATAGCACGTTGCTGGCGTTGGAGGGATAGTATAACTGTTACTTTGTATATACCATGAATTAGATGGATTCAAGCTTCATTCTTCAGCATTCAATCAACATTAAGAGCCTGGTCTCAGTACTAGTATATCTATCGGAGATGACTTACCAGACCAGCCTACCTCGGGCCCGATCCATACCTGTCTCTTATTGGCCACCGCATCGGTCCTTAGCAGACAATCCGGGCCCGAAGCAAAATCCAGCTCCGCGATTGGCTGATATACACCACCCATACAAGTATATAACACAACATATAACGATGATAGAAGCATACTATCCTACACAACTCCCAACCCTAAATACCAATAAACAATCACAGCAAAGCCAAAGCACAACCAAAAAATGACCGACCCCCATAACCACGACCTCGAAGCATCCCCCACCTCCACCCCCATCTCCAAACCCTCACCCCCCAAATCCAAATCCAAATCCAACCCCCCCAACCTCATCACCTGGACCACCCCCACCGACCCCTCCAACCCCCAAAACTGGCCCAAAAGCCTCAAATGGAAAAACACATTATCCATATCCCTCTTCGTCTTCATCTCGCCCATCTCCTCCTCAATGATCGCCCCAGCAATGAACGATCTCGCGCAGTCGCTGGACATGATACACTCCGAATTCGAGATATATCTGTCCCTGAGTATATTTATCTTGGGGTATGCTATTGGTCCCGTGTTTTTTGGGCCCGCGTCGGAGGTATATGGACGGGTTAGGATCTTGCAGGTGAGTAATTTGTGGTATTTGGGGTGGAATTTGGGGTGTGGGTTTGCGAGGACGAAGGGGGTGTTGTTTGCTTGTAGGTTCCTTGCTGGGGTGGGGGGGAGTGCGCCGTTGGCGGTGGGGGGTGGGGCTATTAGGTTAGTCTTTTATTTCTTTTGGGATGGGGGAGGGGGGGGTGGGGGGCTTGTTGAGTTTGGTGTTGTTTATGGTCTGTGGAAGGGTTCGAGATGAGCTGATTTCTGAGGACAGTGATATGTGGGCTGCGGAAGGACGGGGAAAAGCTATGGGAGTGTATACTCTCGGACCATTACTGGGACCTGTGGTGGGACCGATAGCCGGAGGGTTTATTGCGGAGTATTCCACCTGGCGGTGGGTATTTTGGGCTACGTCTGCTGCTGCTGTCGCGGTGCAGATTGTTGGGGTGTTCTGGTTGAAGGAGTGTCATCCGGGGACGATTCTACGGCGGAGACGAGATGCTCTTGTCAAGGAGACAGGAAATCAGGAGCTCCATCCAGCGGAGAAAGATGAGAGTCACGGATACAAGCTTCTTCATGCGTTTAAGCGGCCAGTGCGCATGTTCACGACTCAGCCGATTGTCTTCTGCATGGCGCTTTATATGGCGTACCTCTTCGGCGTGACGTATTTGATGTTTGCGACTTTCCCGGATATTTGGACGGAGGTATATCATGAGAGCTCTGGGATTGGGGGCCTCAATTATCTGTCGATCGCGATTGGGTCGTTCATTGGGCTGTTCTTGAACCTCAAGCTCGTGGACCGGATCTATCGTGGTCTTAAAGCCCGGAATAATGATGTTGGCAAACCTGAGTTCCGAATGCCGTCGTTGGCTGTCGGGTCGGTGATCAGCATCATTGGGCTTTTCTGGTATGGTTGGAGTATTGGACAAACTCATTGGATTATGCCGAATATCGGTGCGCTGATCTATACCATGGGCACGATCTCCTGCTTGCAGGGCATGCAGACGTATATTGTGGATAGCTATCAGACCTACGCGGCTAGTGCTATGGCTGCTTGTGCTGTGTTGAGGAGTTTGTGCGGCTTTGGGTTCCCGCTCTTTGCTCCTTATATGTATAATGCCCTGGGGTATGGTTGGGGTACCAGTGTGTTGGCGTTCACGGCTATGGTTTTTGGATTGGGTGGGCCGTTTGTTTTCTGGCGATTCGGGCCCCGGTTGCGTGCCATGTCTGACTATGCCTCTGGTTGATGGGTGTGTTTGGTGGCATGTGAGGTGTGATTGATGCCCGGTTGGTTTGATTGCCAGACAGAAGTTGTCGTTGGATGGATGTGTGGTATAGTATTTGTATCATAGATCAATTGTCATAGAGAAACTCCCCTATTGAATGCGAAATGCTCTTATATAGTTCGTTGATGACCCGTCCTATGAATGATTGACTCTCATTGAGATAGAAAGGCCCATGAAGGTGGATATTCGTAGAATTTGTGGTTAAGTGAGCACGCAAATGACTGCCTGCACTCCGAGGTGATCTTCAGTCGATGTCCGTACGCACCCCCAACTGGCCGTTCCAGCAGAGGGCGGGCAAGGTAGCAGGATGATGAGATGATGTGATAGTAGATCTCATAGACTATGGTATTCTTTCATGAGTTACAGATGAGTAATTTCGAAGTCCGCACTCACGGATAATGGAGTCGTAGATACTTATATATATAGATGTATAGTGAAGGGTGTCCTTGCTGTTAGTCCATACTGGTTTCTCCGCACATTTGGTCCCAGAATAGCCAATCGGTAGATGAGTCGAGATTGAAGACACTGGGGTCAGCCCTGCTCATATCGTCGAAAAGCTCGTCGAAAGAAAAAGCCCCATCCGTAGCTTGGTCGGCAGCAAGTACGCTGCTATCCCGCTGACCGATACCTTTGGGTTTATGTTGGGCGCGCAGCGTAGTAATGAAAGCCGGCTCGGGAGATGAACTACGAGGCGGATTCAGTAGCCAGGCTTTCAAAGTAACCTTACCAATTGTAGCGTACAAAGTCCTTCGGCCCTGACTCAGTGCTTCGTGATCCGCGTAGACCTCTGAAACCCTTTTCCAGGCAGCATTGAGCTCTGATGGTGAATAAAACCCAACCTTGGCAATGCTTCTCAGAATGCAAAGGAGGGAATCCCACACGAAAAACGCTTGCAGCTGCCAGCGAAACTTCTGGGTTGCGGGATTACTACACATGGCATTTCTGGTGTCGAGCACCTTTTCAGCAAGCCTGCAGAGTTGTCTCTGCTGTGTGTCGGTTATGGTTTCTTGCTTGAGCAACGGCATCCTCGCGCGTAACCGGACAGCATTGATGGCGGATCGCATAACGCCGGTAGTCAGAAAGTGCAAAGGGCTCAAGATGTCGCAGTACCGTAAGAACTTCTTCTCGATGAGGTCTTCCACCTCGTCGATCAGTCGCTCGATCTCCTCTGGGGTGCGGAACTCGATTGCCCCCCCGCTCCCCTTCTGCTGGACCCCGGTTCGAGTGTAGAAATTTGACAGCTCCATCCGGGCCAAGCAAAAGATCATCTCCGATGCACCTCGTTGGTCATGAGGCGGCTCGGTCATGCCGGGGAAGATCTGGTCATCGTTAATGTTTAGCGGTAGCTTAGTATCCCAGCTGCCGGGTGAGATGGATATACCCGTGCCGGAGGTTTGACCTGCGTAACTGTCCAGAGGTAGCAGTTGCCAAAAGAGCCGCCGGCGCATCTGGACCTCAAACGGGGGCAATCCGATGCTTTCGCCGTCTCGGTGCAGTCCTATGCGTTGGGCCAGGCGGATTCCAATCCCAGTCAAAATCCAGAAGGTATGGGAATCGATTTGAGTGCGCAAGGAAATAAGAAAGAGAGTGTAGGCCTGTAAAACCGACAACGAGGTTGTCTTGAGCCAGGACGCATTTACCAATGCCTGAGTGACTGCAGTCCGATATTTGTGCATCAAGTGGGCTCTGGAACTATGGAGTCCACGTGAACACTCGTCGTCAGACATTGAGAACACGGCAAAATGATAGATGGCAAACAGCAAGCATTCATCGTTCTTGGAGGCAGTCGCTGGGTGCTTGGAGACGCCGTCAACTATCTTAGCGACTGTCGGAACATGAAGGATCTTGCAAAGAGGCTCGACGTTTTCCACGTAGGCATACCAGAGCTGGGCCGCATGCTCGTAGCTAGGATAAAGGTGGGTGAGGCTTATCGTGCTTCTCATACTGGCGTCCGAGATGGATTGCGCCGCGAGGGCACCAAGAAGACCAGTTGGAGTGGCTTTGTCGGGACCAAGCTCATCTTGAATATGAATTTGTTGCTCGGACTCGGACAACTCACCTAGATCACCTTCGCCAGCGTCGAGGAGCAGAACATCGTCAATGTAGCGAGAATTGCCGTAGTTGGGATGCAGTCTATCCGCTGCAGCGTCAGCCTGCGAGTTCGCTGTCCCCGGAGTCGGTGCCTGTATACTATTTGCTGAGGCCTCCAATTCTCTTCCGCTAGTAATCGAGGGAGTGGCTATTGGAAGAAGATTGTGGTCGTGCAAGATGCGCTCGTAACGTGCCAGACGTTCATGTACATCTTCCTCGCCCCGGCTACGTTTCCTCTTGCGCCGTGGCGGTGGTGGCTGATAGACACACTCGAGCCTGGCCTTGATGCAGTTGGCACACTTGGGCACCGCGCGGTTGCATTTGATCTTCTTGCGCACACAGGCTTGACAGTTGAAGCGGACTGGGGTTAACGAGTCGGATTCGCAGGAGCCATTGTGCGCATCAAGAGAGAGGTGCTTTGCCGGGGCGGAAGCAAGTGGGACAAGATGCCTTGTCTCTTCCATTTGTGGTACCCTATATGTCCGCTCTCTTGTGTGGCTATAACTGCCGTATTCATTCGTAGTCGGTATTGGGTGGCATGACTTGGGAAGGGACCCCCGGTCATTTCTTCGCGCTAACTTGTATTCCACCCACGACACTAGCTCGCCAGTCATTAAGACTAAATCCTGGCGAGTTCGGGAGGTAATTGAATGTTCATATACTAGAGCCTGTTGTTACATCTCTCTGTTCACCCTCAAATACATTATAGCAAGTACAGATCAATAGATATAAATGATATATATATAAAAGCACTAGACCTGATCTATGAATAAAATTGAAGAACAATAGATTCTCAAACCTACATAAAAGCATATTCAGTCACAACAAGGATGTAGACGCTGCATATCACATCTTCTATTTTCATTATTACATGATTTCATTCTGATTGCTATCAATTACATACAGCCTTTTCGGAGAAGTGAAAAGAAGTAGTATATAGGTCAGAAACATTGTACATAAAAAGTAATGTGTCGTTCATTTCCATTTCCATATGAGAAAAGAAATCCCACTCCTCTCATTCAGGCATACCTTAGATAAGAAAAAATTGAGACATCGTTGTCATCCTCCTTTGTTCACTTCCACTGTCCAGATTTTTCAGTTCGTTTACAGGAATCGATGTTTTTGAAAGTGCAACAGCCTTCTAGATGGACGGTAAATCAGTGCTAGAGGCGGTCGGCTATGTCAAGACGCCTATTCGACCGGCATATTGCCGTGAAGGTACATTTAAGCCTTGTTAGGAACGTGAGCCTTGGGGACAGCACCGGTGCCGGCACGGGTGATGGCGGCCTCACGGGCACCGCTGAGACCATACTGGCTGGGGATACCCTCAACACGGTGGGTGGAGTTGATGTTCTTAACGAGGGTAAGCTGCCAGCAGGTAGCACCACCCTGGCGGGAGGTGATGGTGGAGTAAGCCAAGAAGTATTCCCAGATCTGGAAGTAGTCATACGTTAGTATCGTCCTGTCGTATACACTGAACGGGCATTGGAGAACTCACTCTGAACCATCTCTTGCCGTACTTGGCTTCGACCTTGTCACGGTTGCCCATCCAGTTCCGGTACCAGCGCCACAAGGTAGCAGAGTAGTGAACACCAATAGTGTCAACGGCCTTGATTTCGAAACCAGCAGCCTCCAGTCTGTCAACGACGAAGCCAAGGGGAGTGCTAGCGTCAGCGCCAGGGAAGATGTATTTGTTCATGAAAAGACCCCAGATGAGATCCTCGTACTGCCAAGACTTGCGCAGACCAGCGATCTGCAGGAAGAAGACACCGTCGTCGTCCAGCATGTCGTAGACCTGAGAGAGGAAGGAAGTGAAGTGACGGACACCGACGTGCTCGGCCATCTCAAGGCAAGTGATCTTCTTGTAACCGCCATCAACCCGAGGAGCGTCACGGTAATCAAGGCACAGGATACGACTCTGAGACTCATCAACACCGGCATTGCGGAGACCCTTGTTACCCCAAGCAGTCTGGTTGCGACCCAAGGTGATACCAGTGACCTGAGCGCCATAGTGAACCGAAGCATACTTGGCCAGAGTACCCCAGCCACAACCGAGATCAAGGACAGTGTCACCGGGCTTAACGCCAATCTTTTCGCAAACCACAGCCAGCTTGTTGTCCTGCAGTTCCTCCAGAGTCTCTTCCTTGTTGGGGTCGCTGATGATACCGGAAGTGTAGATCATACGGGGGCCCAAGAACCAAGCGTAGAAGTCGTCACCGCGGTCGTAGTGGTCACGAACCTGCTCCTCATCTAACCAAAGTCGCTCAAGTCAGCACGAAAATCTCATTACCGTGCCAAATGTAGAAAAGTAGATACGTACCTTGGGAGCGGGTGTGCATCAGCATCTCAGGGATGAAACCAAAGAGGAAGTGCTTGTAGAGACCCATGGTGAAGCGGAAGTTGGCCCAGTCGTGTCTGAACTCCAGAGCCTCCAGGGCATCACACTTGAAGTCCACCTCGCCATTGAAGTACTTCTCGTAGAAGACCTCCATGGGAATCTTGCTCTTGCCACGGTAGGCAGTACGATCATGCTCGCTGTGGAAGTTCAGGTAGTACTCGACGGGGCGACCAGCATACTTGGCCTTTTCGTTCTTGCGGGGAGAAATGGAAGAGGCGATGGACCAGAAGCCCATCAGAATGGGGACGGTGGTGAAGATGGCGAAGAAGATGGTGGTGTAGAAACCACCACCGATCTGGCGGGCGAGGTACCATGGGACAAGGATGAGGAGAGCGAAGAGGAGGGTGTTGGAGAAGCTATCGCTACCCTGAGAATCCGCGGGGACGGGGGCATTTTTGATGGCCGGATACTAGTAAAAACAGGAGAAGATTAGCTTACTGACATTGCGAATTGAATTGACCATTCCTGTTCCGAAAAGTATGTGTCAAGAGCCCTAGAGGAGCTCTTCAGGAGCTGTTCATGTGCGACAACTAACTCACCGAGGTAGTCCGCACACCGCAATCATCGGCGGGAGTCGTGCAGGAGGCGGGTGGAGTTTCAATGAACTCGAAGTCCTCTGGGGACTCGGGATGGATATTCGTCATGGCGGAGGAGACGAATTGTCGAGAGGGAGAGGGGGAGGGGGAGGGAGAGGGAGGAGGAGAGGTGGGAGGAGAAAGAGAAGGGGAAGAGGAGAGGGAATTGGAGAAAAGAGGGAAGAACACTAGGATTGCTTGTGAGGCGGGAGCGAGTGGATTATTGCTTGAGCAACTGATCAACCGCCAGGGTTCGGAAGACTGCGCCTAAGCAAGAACATGAGAACTTCCTCCTCTCTCGTCTGTAATTGGTCTACTAATTTTATCGAGTGATGCTACAGGGGTTTGAACAGGCATTCGTTAGATTTATCTGGGTGATAACCTGATGGAAAAGTAACTGAACTACCACTACATGAACACTCCTGCAGCAGCTGCAGCTTTTGCTGTAAGGCCGGGGAGAAGAAGTGTTGATTGCTTGGACAAGTTTCCAAGGATTCTAGACGAAGTGGTCCAGTCCAACTGGGTCTCGCCCGGGAGGACAAGCGGTGAGCGTCGCATAGGTTAGTTAGTAGTATTGATTAGTAGTTGGTACGTAGTTATACTGGGGCTCTCTCTCTCTCTCTTCTCTCTTTCTTGTGTTAAGTGCCAAAAGTACTCCAATCCGAAGGTCCTTTATTTGGCTAATTGCAAAACAACCTAGAACAGGTACAATCTTCTCACGTTCCGCGGTCGGGGACCAGGACACCTCCTAGCCAGTTACTATCTTTATAACCGATCTCAACTTCCCATCCAAGGTTGGCAGTTGGTCTTTTCCCCGGGTCTGAAACCCAACTGCGGTGCGTGGCCCCTTTTGCTTGGTCCAGTGGGCTTAGTCATGGGCGTTGCAAAGTGAAGGTGCCCCTTAAACCAGCTTAATCAATTGAGCCATCAAACGGTTAGCTTGGGAGAGAACCACTGTTTGAGGGCCGGCAACACCCACTACAGGAGGGTCCATTACGAATATTCTGGCTATTAATCATACAGCCCAATTTCATGCTCAAATAGGGACAAGCCCCACGCCGGGGTCTTCCGTGGGACTCGTCAAGTCATAACAGGATAACACGGTAACCCCATCGTAAATAGATACATCATAACTTTCTATAACGCCCCCCCTTTCAAGTCCCCTGCTCCATCTCGCTGGCTCCGTGAGGTTTCTTTTGCCATGGCTGTTTTCTTGCCAGTCAGGAAAAGAATACTCACACGTTGGCGAGTGCAACGAAACATGAAAGACACATAAAAGTAGACCGGGAAACCAAAGAACACCACTCAACTACCAATAACATAAACCCATAAAATCCCATATGATACGCCGGAAGTAGACCTCTGTATTCGCCTTGGTTCTTCACACATCTCACGTCACAGCGTTAATTGAAAGTTCTGGGCTTCCTCATCTTCATCAAATGTCGGAAGCCCCTCCGCACTCTCCAACTCTAGCCCAATCGTGTCGGCGATCAATGGTGGAGTCCCGCAGGGCTGCAGATAGGTGTCGGGTGAAAGGATTCCTTGGGGGACTGTCTCCAGCTCTGTTGGACTAGCCGTCCTACCATGTAACTTGGTCGACACTTCCCGGCCCCTACTATATCCCACCGTCGTTTGGGAAGTCGCAGCAGCGGCCGTTTGACGCATACTCGACGGGTTGGTCGGCTCTCTTGGTTTCTTAGACGGGAACAAGGCAGATGTAACCCTGGGCTTGGCCGAAACAGCCGGTCTGGTGCGTGGAACAGAACGCTGTGTCCCGGACAAGGCAGCAGCAGCATCACGAGCTCGGATGGTGGAGATATTGCTGGTATGTTTCGTCTTGTTGTTGGCCGCTCTCGTTCGTGAACGCGTTTGAATTCGGCGTTGCGTAGCGTCTGCTGCAGGCGGCTCCTCGATTGGAACGGTCTCGTATGTTTCCTCGAAGCCAATGCTCTCGACTTGCTTTCGAATCATTTCCTCAACCATTCTGTCGCAAGCTGCTGAGTCTTCTTGGAATTTCCGCTCGCGCTTAGTGAGCCCATCGGGGCCAACCTCATTATCACCATACACACTTTCCAGTCCTAGGGCGAGATTTTTCGGCTGGAATTGCGGAAAGGTGGTATCATAAGTGACATCGTCCGGGATATCAGGAAGATCTGCGATAAATCAGACACAACGAACCCCTTGATACATGCGAAAACCCCGCGCAAGGACTACTGACCTTTGGGCTTAGGGGGCATATACTCAATGTCAGGGACATCATCTTCTACCGGTTTCGCCTGGACCTCTGGCTGACTTGGCTCTACAAAGGGAGCAAATTTCTTCGCTCTCTGCGTAGAACCTCTCTTGATGGTCCTGTCAGGCTTCACCGCCCCTCCAGGTGCTGGCGTCTGCAATCCCCTGGCTTTGGCATTTGTCGTCTTCATGCCAAGAGGGGCACGCTGACGAGGATCTGCTGCAAAGTGTGTTAGTCTCATGAATAGCGAATAGCAAGGATCAAGTCATGCGACTTGAACATGGTCGTAGATTTCCATTACATACCCGCCGGAGTGATGAAGGCATTTTTCGTTGTCAAGTTGATATTATCCTTCTGTTTACCCCCCTTCACGGTTTTCTTTCCAAAAGCCAGCGGATCGTTCTCATCATTTTTCAAAGGGACTTTGAATGGCGTTTTTGGTACTCGAGCGCCGGGGGTCTTGGGTTGCAAATGTCTCACGCCTTGATTGAGTGGTTTCGACGCGGCAACGGTTTGGTGAGAGTGGACCAGGTTTTCTTGGTCGCGTACAGCCAACATGGTGGCAGTTATGTATTCACACGGCTCATTCAACGAGCGAAGATCGATTGGCGTAGGTTATACTGGAGGTCGGAGCTAAAGGTGCTGGAAGCGGCGCGTCAGCACTGAAGGAAGGAGAGCGGAGCTTGTCGACATGGTTCTAGATGCAGCGTCACGCAACCGAGATGTTTTCGTGGCGGTTGCCCGTGGAGACAATACAACTGACTGTATTCCGTAACACCGGGACGGTAAAGTATCAGCCACAGCAACTGTGGCACTGCCCATCCAGGGGGGGCGATGGCATCCCCTACCATACCAAAAATGGATCGGGCCCAACCACTAGTCGCGGCTGACCGCCAGGCCAGGCAAGAAAGTCAACCTTACCTGAAAGGCCCTCCTCCACTTCTCTTCCTTTCTCCCTAAACCCAAAACCCATTTGTCCTTTTGACTACTTGCTTCCCTACTGCATCTCTGTCTGGTTTATCGCTGAGCGAAAGCCGTCCCGCATCCCCAACTCATCGAAACATCTACTTTCTACCATACATATTTCCCGTTCCTTCACTGCAAATAACTGCCCAACATGGATAAGATCAAGGAGGTGAGATTCCTTGCCCTTCCCCTCCCCCTGTTGGCGGGGTAGCTTCTAAGCTGCCTGGCACTGCAACATGCACCACCACATGCATCCTTATTTCTCCCACCGCATCACTCAGGATGATCCATCTATCCTCATTACCACAAACAGAAATGTGTAAATAAACTGGAAATATCCGAAAGCTGACCCCCATGATTCTAGAGAATGAACAACCTCCGCCTCGAGGCTGAGGAGGCCCAGGAGAAGGTTGAGGAGCTCAAGAGCAAGGTTAAGACGCTGGAGCAGGAGAACCTCGCCAAGGAGCAGGAGATCACATCCCTCAACCACCGGAACCAGCTTCTGGAGGGTGAGGTCGAGAAGCTCGAGACCGCTCTCAAGGAGGCCAAGGATTCTGCCAACCAGAGTGCTCAGCACGATACTCAGAACGAGGCTCTCCAGCGCCGTCTGCAACTTCTGGAAGAAGAGGCCGAGGACGCTGACCGGAACCTCCGGGAGACCAACGAGAAGTACGTCTATTTTCCATTTCCGCCCCCTCCCCGCACCTCCTTTCTTACGAGTCCGCAACGGAGCAACACATATACTGACTACGCTCGTGCTCTAGGCTCCGCCAAACCGACGTCAAGGCTGGCCACTACGAACGCAAGGTGCAGGCTCTCGAAGCGTCCCGTGACCAGTGGGAGAGCAAGTACGAGGAGATGGCGAAGAAATACGCCGAGTTGCAGAAGGATCTGCACGACCTCGAGGTCTCCATCAGCAATGTTTAAAAAGGAGATGGCGCCGAGGCCCGGAAGATGCTGGATTTCAGCCTTTTCCCCAAATATACTTTCACCTTTGCTTTCTTTTCCTGCACATCACAGTCTGATCTATATGTCCTGTCTGCAGGGAGACGGATTTTAGCTGTATCTTTTTCTCGTCGTGTCATCTAGCTGGCTTCATCCGCATCATCAACCGGTCTCTCCGCTCGTCCCCGTGACCTTGTTTAACCTTTTATTGTTTACCATATTAGTCATTGTGAAGGTACATAGAGCATATTTAATTGGGAGCGCCCCCCTTCTGGCTTCTGTATTCTCAACCGAATGCTGGTTCATGAATGTGCTGTGCTGTGTTGTATAGGACTGGATATTATGAGCGGTCTCGTCGAGCCTGTGCTTTCCTCGATTTCGCCGCGCGCTCCTTCACCCTCGTAAGCTTGCGTTCCTCTTTAGACTCGTAGCGGAACTTCTTCTTCTTCTTTTTGGGCTTGTTATCGGTCTTCTTTTTCGTCTTCTCGCCGGCCGCGGTTGATTTGGTGTCCGGCGCAGGTTTCGTCTCCGTCTGCTCCTCTTCCTCGTCGTCCGACTCATTGCCTGCCGATCGCAGTAGGCCTTCTCTGGAAGGATCCATTTCTTCCACTGTCACCGTCGTGTACTTGTCTTCGTCTATGTATTCAGCCTCATAATCCACGGCTGGGGGTTCTTCGAACCCTTCCCATTCCTGGTCGTCTTCATCACCACTTCCCGAACTCGAGTTGTCCTCATCACTGTCCTCTTCCTTCAACCTCTTGAGTTGCTTTTTGTGTTCCTCGATAGCGCGCTGGAAATCTGCGGTTCGCTCTTCGCGAATCTAGATTGAAAGCAAAATTAGTTCCGGTGCAATTAAGCAAACTGATCACCGGCGAAGAGACGTACCCTTTTGCGCTCCTCACGCTTCAATTCACGGGCCTTCTGCTCGGCCACCTCTTGTGCATGTTTAATGCGTTGTTGTTTGCGCTTGCGAAAGCCTGTGAGAAACTGCTGGCGATCGGCAGCGTCGAAGGTAACTTCTTCGACTTTGCTGGCCACCTTTCTCCTTTTTGCTGCTGGCCCCATGATTTTATATATGAGACAATTAAAAGAAATTGTCTATAATTATGGACGAAGTGATGTTGTTCTCTGAGGCGGGGATTTTTAGTTCAGGAAAATTTTCCAAAACGGCCGCATTGCCAGAACGTCACGGCCGGGGACAAGTCGAGCTAGGCCGTGCCGGTGGTTGGCTCGACCGCCTCCGAGCCGTCGTCGGCCAATCCACCAGCCTGGCTCCAACATCATCATTCATTCCTCCCGGAGGTTCTCTAGATAGCCGTCCGCTCGTCTGATAGCTACCCCCCTATTACACCACCATGCGTTTGGGAACCTTTTCCCTGCTCGCTCTGGGAGCGACGACGGCGAACGCAATCCGCGACACCTCTCCCTTTTTCCTTGCATCGACCTCCCAGTATGCGTGACACTTGCTCGATTGCGGGACTTCCTTAGAGTGTCCAGCTAACTAGCTACTACAGGATCCCTTCTACGTCGGCACAGCTGCGGACTGCTCCCGCTATCTTAGAAGATCTGTCTACGGGGCTGAGTGGCTGCCCTTCCGACTACTATGTTATTGCTTCTCAGCCCGGTGTGCACAGCACCGACTTCGCTACTCGCCAGTCCGCACCGCGCCTCGGTGGGAAGATGACGGGGAAGGACAAGAATATCCGGACAAAGACGATTGTGAATGAAGTTGTGGGCGAGATAGAGGCGAAGGATGTCCAGAAGCTGCTCGAGAAGGAGTGCGGGGCTGAATCGACCGTGATCGACGCTTCCTGTAGGTGCTCACTTGTGGCTGAGTGGTCGATAGATGAAGGACATGACTGACAGCCAATGATTAGCTGACTCTCACTCTGCCGACTTCGATGCGGAGTCCCGCATCATTGTTGTTGACTTGCCTGTCCTGCCTGCAGGACATGAGCGGAAGAAGCAGCTTTCGAACAACGGTTAGTGGCCCAAACCTCTATACTACTCCCGGAGAGATGCTTATTGTTTTGGCAGATGGCTTGCTCTTCAACGTCATTGACCGACTTCCCGAGTCCAAGGGCTACACGATCCTCTACGTCACTTCCCCGAGGGAACTTGAAGACACCGGTTCCGATTTCTACCAAGCGGATCAGGATCCCCTTCACATGGACCTCAAGCGCGACTACTCTGCTCATGACAGTCAATCTTCGTCCAACAAGACTCTTTTCCAGGAATACCAGTTCTTTACACCCGGTATGTAAACCGAAATCAAGCCACTGCAAGACATAATCTGACCGTTAACAGGCATTTGGATGGGAATTCTCGCAACCCTGGTGTTCCTGATGATCTTCTATGTCGGACTGTCTGCTCTTTTGAGCTTGGAGGTTCCCTATGCAGCATTCGAGAAGGACACATCGGCCGCTGTGCAGAAGAAGCAGCAGTGATTAGCGGTTGTTCTTCCAGATTCGTGTCATTAGTCTTGCTTCTTCTTTGCATAATTTGCTATATTATGAATAGGCTGTATATCAGCGAAGCGGCGTTTGCTTATTTGTGGAATCTATCATATTGTACGAGTGAAAGTGGCACCCCACTAGGTATCGTTTGGGAGTCGAGGTAGATATCTAACCATCGAACATGATTGATGACGAATCCTAGAATGTCTCACATTAGATTTAATAATTAAGGGAATGGCCCAATAGCCTGAACTTACCTCGCCGCTAAGAATAACTTGGGTATCACGTGGGCCATAGTGTGGAAGCCTCAGGCCGGCCGAGGATGGCACGGGGCAACCACCGCTTGGCTGTCAAAGACCTCGTCTTTGCTCACTCTCTTTATGCCCATCGCTCGCTTTGGGGGTCCTCAAGACACGGATTAACCGCACAGCGGCTGTCGCTGTAGTCCCTCGTTTGGCTGTCTGCCCTACCTCGGTGATCACCGTCTTACCCTTGCATCCATCGCTTGTTGACCCTCTTGTTTTGGGTGGAGACCGATATTAAGTCCCGCCCGCCTGCCTGGAGACACCCGCTATCCATGCAATCAATCTACGACCAGAGACATCCGATTCAGTTCTTGTTTTGCTGACGATTTCGGATTCCTCTTGACTATGAACTTGTATCTCTTGCATTAACTCTAATTGCACCGGTCATTGCTGGTTCTACGAACTCTCGTTATCACTCGATCTGATAGATACCCAGGAGTCTATATCAACCATGGTAGCCCTGTCGGTGGGCCTCTCAAGGGCCCGCCAGCCTTCATTCATACTCCTTCTATTGTTTATCATTGTCTTTGTCGCGCAAGTTTCAGTCGCTCAGGACTCCACCACAGACGACTCTACGACCACTGCCGCCACAACGGCGGACACATCTTCATCTACGGACTCTGCGACAACCTCGTCAGATGACAGTACTACCACCTCAGCTGCAACCACGACGGACTCATCGTCTAGCTCAACGACAGATGCTACGTCCACGTCAACTGACTCAAGCTCTTCTTCTTCCTCTTCCTCAACCAGTGGCTATCCCATCGTCACTGTTCCCCCCACAGCCGATGCACCGTACATGCAGAAGTCGAAGATCCCCGAGGGGACTCTGTTCATCGTTGTCGGGGCTGTCCTTGGTGCCATTGGATTTGCTATTCTGGCCTGGCGCGCCCTCGTAGCCTGGTCAGTCAACCGTTCCGTTCGTCAAGCCGCCATGGTTCGGTCATCCGAAACCAAAGGACTGCTTCGCACCAAGAAGCGAAGATCTCGCTCCAGAAGATCAAGTTCCGGACCAGGTGTCACCCTCGAGAAGCTGGGTGGTGGAGGGCATCATCACCACCGTCACAGCCACCGACACCATAGGTCACCTTCCACAAAGACCCCCAGCTCCAACAGCGCGCTGTTCTTTTCGCCCACCGCCGGAATGCATCCCAGCAGCAGTAACAGGCGGTCTGCCTATCTCCCTGCAGGCTACTACAACACCGGCAGTGCAGCGCCTCCTCGGACTCACGAAGCACGCTTCTCGGCGGCTGATCTACCAGGCATGGGACCACAGTCGCAGGGTTATACGAGGGCCAAAACAGCCCCTAGCCCTCCTGAATCACCAGGCCTATCCCCAGCAGCCAACGAACAGGACACGACGCCCCGTCGTAGTGCCAGACGGTCCCGCGCAGAAGACCCTTCTACCAGCAGCGTGAATCTGTCCTCTCCTCCTCAGGGTCGCACACCAAGCGCATACCTGGAAGATTTGTTCGATAACCACAATACGCCTCAGAACAGACATTGATATAACCTATCTATGTTGTTGATGAGCGACGATTTCTCATTGTTCTTCTTTTCTTCATTTCCATTATCTCGTTTACCGTGTTGTATATTTCGCATCTCTTCCGTTATACAGATCTCTTATCTTTAACTTCTTTTCCTGCTTATATGTTTATTACTGTATTGTATATTTCATTCTATCATTTTCTATCATGTCAGCTAAGCCCCTTTCACGATCAACGAGCATTTATCTATTTGCCCTTTCTATCATTATTTAGCATTCATTATTCCTCTCTTCAATTTGGCATCCCTGCTATACTGTAACTACCTCCATAAGTAAAAGAAAAGCAAGCGTCTTATTAATAATCACCATTAATATTACCTATTAAGCGAGTGCACTGTCCACGACAGCCCCGATTATCATACCATCCAGCACTATGACCAACCCGCAGTCTTTCCTTAACCCCCAAACAGTACCAAAACGAATGGTACTAGGTAGGTACCCCAATAAATAATAAAAGAGAAAGTTATTACAACGAAAGGAATGAAAGTAAACCCGAAGAGAATGGTAAAAGGTAGGAGAGATAAAGAAATAAAGAAATAAGAAATAAGAAATAAAACAGACTGAGGATTTATACTATACGTTTTAGCGTATACGAAACAACAACATGAACTGCTCCGCAACACTCCCTTTCCCTTTGTTTCCTGCCCAATATAATATGATACAGACGCCTCTCCGCCTCCCAGTAGAAAAATGAAAAAAAGAAGAGAAGGGGAAAGTAAATATAGGTGTGTGTGTATAAAACAGACAAGTGTATATAATAAGAGGAACGGAACCAAGCCAATCCAAATCAAATCAAGTGTGAAGAAGTGAACGGGCCGGATGGGCTCTAAATGCACCGATCCAAGCCAGGAAGAGGGAGAAAGGCAGGAGATAAAGGCAGAAGGAAGAAAGATGTTCTTACATACGTAATCACAATAACGATGAATGCTGGCTACAATGTTGGATACACAAAAATCATGTCAGTTTATAGAGGAATGGGCGAGAAGCCTTGTCTAGAAAGATGCGGCAAGGTTGTATAAGTTCAGTCTGCGTCCAATTTGCCGCCGAACTCGCCAAGGAGAATATCGTCGGGGGCAGGACCGCGGCTGTTTCGGACTGTTGTTGGGTACCACGAGTCAGTTGAAGGTGCCACGGTAACGTGCTTGTGTGATGGATGGGTGACTTACTCCACTCGGCCTCGACGCGGAGGAAAACCCACATCCAACGACGGGCAACCTCAGAGAACATGAGTACGAAAATTCCAAACTCGGTCTCACTCATCCAGACAAATCCGGGCACGTATCTAGAGAGCCAGGAGAAACGGATGGCCAGATCAATGATGATCGCGAGGTAGTATTGTCGGTTGGCGAAGTAGCGATGGCGGCGCAGTCCGTATGGGTGTTCGTGGCTGCGGCGTGCCGAAGAGAAAAGGGTCAAATCCCAATCCTTGGTGATATCCCAGTAGAAGGAGTATGCGGAGTTGATGAATGTAAAGAAAAACCTGTAACAGAGGAAGCGCGGTTAGGCAGGGCTATTTGCAGAAGGCAGGAAAGAGAAGTCGAGCACGTACAAGAGCCGTGAAAGGCTCATCTCACTGTAGCCGTAAAAGTCTAGAGGGTTGTAGTTCTTCAACTTGGCTGCCAGGATGATCACCGGAAACGCGGTGGCGTACTTCAGGGCGTTAGCCAAGTGCTGGCCACCCTGGCTGCCCGCGACTTGACTACGCTGGGTAGCCCGACGCACACGCAAGTATTCAATGAGACATTGACGAAGTCGAATGATACTGGGGAAAGCGATGATCAAGGGAACGACGTAATCGTTCGTGCGACACTTGCGGGTGGGTTTGGACGTGCTGGAGACGTCCGTGGTAAAGAACATGCAGAAGGTAACAACCAAGTCCGCGAGGACTCTAGAATAGCTTGTCAGAGCATCTGCCAGCAGAATATCCCCGAATTTGCCATCTTGTGCTTCCGCCAGACCTCCAAGACTGATGCGCTTCAGGGTCATGAAGAACCGATATCGGCCCGAGCGCGCGATCCGGTAGAAGGGCAGGATGAGAATAAACAGTCCTATGAAGAAATATGATTGCGGAATGAATTCCACCGCTTCGACGCGTTCTGCGGAGCCATGGGTGGCGGGCCAGAAGATAAGGAGGGAGACGACGAGCGGGATGGTCAGGAGAGTGGCCAGCTGGTATGTCGAGGCATAATGCGGGCGTTGACTGGAGGATTGTCGGGCAGGGTATTTAATGAGGGCAGGGACATCCTAAGAAGAAGCCAGTCAGCGGATGTATATAACTATAGACAGAAGGTGAAAGGAAGGAGGATGAAGAGGGAGAGGGAGGGGCATCACCCACAATATTGGCCTTTAGGAGGTACTGCAGATTAGCACCCCAACCCCAGAAACCTATCGATAACGAAATGTCAGCCAAATGAAATGCCGGGGATTAGTTAGAGGAGGGGGGCGATCATCCAAGGGGGTAGCATACCAGCCAGCAGTATCACCGCCACGCGATAGGGGAAGGGGAGGAAGAGACTGAAGCGATCCAATTGAGCATGTTGATCGACACCCATATTCCATTGAAGAGACGGCGGCGCCGGGAATTCAGCACCAGAGGGAGACCGAGAGGGAGATTCGGAAGTGACTCGAGGGAGGCTCGAGGCACGGAGCCAGTAGTGAAGAGTATGTAGCGACAGTGACTGATCAGGCGAAGGGGAAGGAGGGGGGTTGGAGGGGGGGAGATCAAGGAGCGACTCGGGGTGAGGTTTGACGACCACAAAGGGCACTCAAATCATGACCAGCGAAGCAGTTTAAGCAGCGGGAAGTGAAGAAGCTCAGGGACCGCCGGTTTCAGGTCGGCTTTCCACTTTGGACGGGGCCCAGCGGCTCCGCGCGGCTTTCCGGCTTGTAACGACGCGCACTGGTCCCGCTTTGGGTCTAGCCTGGCCTCTTTGGGACTTGACCCTTAGCACGTGAGGAAGGTCATGTGATAGGGGTCACGTTGCGGTTGTCTAGAGCATCACGTGAGTGTTACCGAGGCACTGGCGTTGCTCCTCCGCCTTTCGGGGATCCGCTGTTGCATGCCGGCGCTGCTATACAATCCCACGCGCCTTATCTCTCCCTCTCTTTCTTCGTTTCTTCCTGCCATGATAGCTGTCTCAACGAGGGAATAGCTCTCTCCCATATTGTCTTCTCCTTCCTCCTTTCACTCACCACCTCTCGCAATCTCCCACTTCCCTCACAATGGCCGACGAAGATCTCTCCCTAACTACCTCCGCTCCGACACCGTCCGTCTCTCCCTCGGCCCATTTCTACCCTTTCGCTACCTCCCCAGATATCATTCGGTCGCATGAAAAGGATGTTTTCATGACAGGGAGCTTGACAAGCCAAGCCCATTCAATTGTTCGCTCTCTCCGCGGAGCTCGCTATGCACACACCCACTCCGATGCCATCAAACACCTAACCGAGATCCTCTACTTTGCCTTGACCACCTTCATCGGAAACCGAACCCTAGGAGAAGAATACTGCGACCTGGTCCAACTAGAAGATGACACCCTCCAACTTCCTTCTCTCCCAAGGCGAGCTGGGTACATCCTCAGCAGTATTCTGCTGCCCTGGACGCTGCAGCGTATTCTACCCGCTTTCCGACAACGACTGCGATCGAAGCTCGAACGCAGTATCGCTCGACAACAATTCAAAGCATCTCAAGCCAAGAAAACAGCAGTAGAGCAAGCCAAGGACAACAAGTTGTCCAAGAAACCATCCTTCTTCACAAAACTCCGGATCCAGAAATACATCCTCGAGCATCTGGACTCCATCACGTCGCTGTCACCTATATACGCCGTTAGCATCGCAACATTCTATTTCACGGGCGCTTACTATCATCTCTCAAAGCGGTTCTCGGGCCTGCGGTATGTCTTCACGAAGAAGGTAGAGGAGGGTGAACAACGAGTCGGTTATGAAGTCTTGGGTGTGCTGCTTGTCTTGCAGATCGCTGTACAGGGCATCCTGCATATCAAGAAGGTTGGGACCGACCTAGAACAGGGGAATGAAGATAGTGGACTTGAAGCAGAAGGTGGTATGAAACAGTATGGGAGCTCCTTGATACCGTCACTTGAAAACCCTTCCTCGCTTCCTCTCCTTCCGGCTTCTGCTGCCCGGTACGATTTCTCAGAAGACTCCCATGCGATCCCGTGGATCCCTGAAGGACAGCAGCGCAAATGTACGCTCTGTCTGGAGTTGTTCAAAGATCCGAGTGTCACGACCTGTGGACATGTCTTTTGTTGGACGTGTGTGCGGGACTGGGTACGGGAGAAGCCAGAGTGCCCGCTTTGTCGACAGGAGGTGCTCTTGTCGAAAGTGCTGCCCTTGAGAGGATGATTTTGATGGTTTTATGACTTTACAGCGCTGTTTATATACATGAATGACTGTATCATGCTTTCCAGTCTATAATTATACCCCATTCATACTAGAGGCAATTATTTGGCAGTCTCGATTGTAAATGACTTTGGTTTTCTATTCAGTTTCTGATGAAAATGTTGTATATATTGATTCTAGCATGGGTATCATATCATGTTCTAGCTCTGAGATCTATATAGATCCAATAGTCAAAGTTTATGGCCCTGGAATCTGGCCATTCCAACCACAGAGTATATATCAAGTCGCACTATATTTGAACCAGATAGCAACCAACCCGTTTCGTCGCGGGAGTATGCATATGCTGTGGAACTAACCACTGTATCGCCACTCTGTCTCAAGCAAGCCACTAAGGCTTAACCACCTCGACATCATCCGGGACCGTCGTCGTGGTCGGCTCCTGCACAATACGAATAGGCAGATCCAGATCCGCATGGGCAGGTAAAGGTGGTCGAGGGTCGAGAGCCTTTCGCTTTGCATCCATAGTATCAAACAAGCAGATACAAGCATATGAATCAGATGCAGCATCTACACATACACGCGTTATTCATGTGTCGGCACGAGAG